TCCAGAGCTTCGTGCCACTCACTGCCATTCTGTAATTCCTTGATATCATTCAGAGAAAATGGATGTAAAAGTTTTTCTCCACTTGCAATCAATAAAAAAATAGCACCATGATTGTCTACTGCAGTAACAGGGATGCTGAAATTTGTGTCCTGGCCAAACCCCAGGTCAGGGTATTGCATTCAAACTATCTAAAATTCCCTCTGCTCCTTAGCTTGCCAAACGTTTTCTCACCTTATCTCCAGAACTCCTTCAAACAGAAGCAGAACACAGCAAACTAGTTGTTCCACAGGAAAAGTGGCCGAATTGAGCTAGAAGTGGGGTTTTGTTGCCATTTGTTTCCCTCACAGAAATGCTTAATATATTTAGGCCTGCAGTGAATGTTAACCTTGGACCTAATTGGATGAATATGAGCAATCATACAGCGGCCACAGAGAGACTGGCACTGTTCTGCTCTTGGTGATCTATGGTGAATCCTACCTTCAGAAACTGTTAATGTCTTTCTGCAAAGCTTGTTCTGTCAGCTTGGACTGTGCCATATAGAAAGTGAGAAGTCAATAAACACAGAGCTACATTACCAATGAATACATAGCTATTAGGACATCATTATATTTAGACTATTTTTTAGATTAAATATTAAACTGCACACAAATTAAGATATAAAAGAAACATTGATTTCAAAAAGCATTATAATTTTAGAATCTTCAAAAGGAAAAGAACAAAAGCAAAATAAAGCAGCACAAATTTGGAACTATTAAAATTCCTGCTCCTTCAGTTACTCATTTGTGTTTAACATGTGCTTTTCTTCTCATTATTATTTCTTGGTGATCCTCATAGAAAAGAAAAAATAGGGACTGAAGAGATCCTTTGGTTTTCTAGAGTGCTTTTAGATTATTTCATTTTAACTATAATTAATGGTTATGTAAAGGAAATAATGAGTTACAGTGAAAATTCATTATAAGTTTAATGAGAAAAATATTTTAGATGTATAAGAAAGAAGAAATACAGGTGAACAAGGGCATATAATTCTTTTAAATTCTTTTGGCTTCTCAAGCTTATCCATTTAAGCATCAGCTGTAGTCACTACTACAGGGCAATCTAGACAAGAAAGGCAGGTGACTACAAGAAAGTGATGAAAAAGAGATTACAACTCATGCACACGAAAATTTGTGCAGTAGTAAGTCATTAGAAAATACCTGCAATTTACAGAAGCCTGAATACAGGAATTGAAACAATTAATAAAAAAAGTTTGTCCTGAATTTAGTAATTGACTTTATTAGCAATGCTCATGATTCATGTTAATATAACTGACAGCACATTCCATTCTATTCTAGTGTGTATTATAACATTTATGGCCCACTATTAATAATGTTATTAAATATCACTTGTTTTTACCTATTTTGTTTGATACATAAACTAAAAATGTTTAATTATGAACAGGATTCTGACTTTTCTGATCTGAATAGGCTGGGAGTCAGTCTTGTTTAGAAGCTGATGCTAAAATAGTAAATGAGGGCTTGATTATACATTAGGAAGTATCTGACTTGAATGCTTCAGAAACTTCACAAAAAGGTTTGTTGATCACTGTACTCTCACCCAAGGGCCAATCTTTTCCTACTTAGGATCTAAAGCAAAGTTCTAACCAAACTTTTTATTGCAAATCAAAGGAAAAACTTTCTTCAGACTTGGATCCCAATATAATCTACTTTTCTATAAACCCAAAACTACTTATGAACTAAAAGATTCCAAAGTTTTGTATAAAATAAATATGTATGGAAAACTCACTATACAAATCAATAACCAGTGTATACATTATCATAGGCTGCCATAAATAAGATACAGTCATCTATCAGCCTATGAGACAATAGAGTACAGAGACAAGTGATTAGTAAAAATAGTTAAGAATTTTAATTATTATGAGAAGAGTAGAAAATATATGCAGCTTAAATATGTTTCTCTACCTACATCATTGACACTACTGTTGTGCTTAGCTATATTCTAATTCCAAAATAGAAGTATAACAATTCCCTTCTTTTAACTCTTAGGTGATAATGCTGATGAACTTCTCTTTGATTGAATGTATTAATGACTCACTGAGATAATGATATATGAAAGAGATTTGAATGCCTTTCAAATGCTCATCATTAAATGTTCTGTATCAGTAAGCTTCACAGACTATGCCTTAATCTTTGGAAGTTTTAATCTTCTGCATAGAATATGTCCAATACCACATAATTTATTTTATTCCTTTTGCATCAGGTCTTGATCTTTACATCCAGTTAATAGAATGAATTGTGAATACTTTGGAACTTTTATTAAATAAGTATGTTTCTATAGCAGTAATTTAATCGAATTGAAAACATTTATGAGATTAAGACACTTGGAGTGATACTTTTAGTCAGCAAATAACTGTGAATATCCTACTTTTTTTTGATCAATTGCATTGAATTGCCAGTCATTCAGAACACAGTTCAAAAGAACTGTTACAATATACAGATGCTTTCAAGAGGAATCAATGATCTAGCTGTTCAGAATAATTATTTCTGGAGAGCAAACCTTGCATTGATAGACTGTGAATATGAAGATCTTGCATTGGATAATTTGTTCAAGGGTAAAAAAAGACCAAGAGATGGTTCTCATGAAGACTCCACAGTTACGTTGCGAAGTGAGTAGTGGCTTTAAATGAATCTGAAACATATGAGGCTTTCAGATGGCATTAAATTCCAGGAGGTAAAGGCAAGGTCTGACTGCAGTGAGAACTGTACTCAGCCATGAGTCCCACAGGAACAAACTCAGCCTTCTGCTCAATTATCAGTGGAAACATCACTTGTATTTTTGACAACCAGCTTTTGGTTGTATGGAAAAATATCTAAGTTGACAACACTGCTTGGAAGAGGTGGAATAGATGAGTGCAAACCAACTAGTCAAGTGAAATTTCTCTCTCTGTCTCCACCTCTTTTGTATTTAGGTGGCTAAAAGGATCAAATTCCTTTTTGGTGCTGGCAGACTTCAGAAAAATTAAACACAGTGTGCACTTGATACAAGCACCCTAGAAGAGGAAAAAGTTGTGGCAAAAAAATATGTTCTGCTGTTCCATTCTTGCCCTTCTGTATTATTTAATCATAATGATGCTACTTTTTTTTTTTTTTAAATCTGTAATGGCTTAACATTCTATGCAAACTCATAACATGACTGCTCCTGACTGTGGTTTGTTGGTTTTGGTTCTTCTTTTCTGGATATTTTTATCAGCAGACTATGAAGGAAGCCCATTTTGAAAGTATATATATATGTGCTTATCATGTCAGTTTATTCCCTTTAAAAAAATGTCTTACAGAGTTCCTTCCAATAGTTCCTTCTCAGAGTGCCCAAAACATGGAAACGCACATACTACCTCCATTGACTTGTACTTCTTTTCACACATCGTGATAGACTTCTTCATTTTCTCTTCAAATACTCTATTGTTGTTCTTTAGAGAATACTATATGTAGAGGCAGAATTAAATCACCTTGAAACTGATACTGCTCTCACCCTCACCACTCACAGACACAGGGCAACTGTCCTGAACAATACAATATACTCCCTGAACATCTGACTAAAAGTTTAGGTGAACACAAACCTACTGTTTCAAAGATCTGAAATAGTTCAACCAGCTTTTTGGCTTCCATGATTTGTCATTTCCCATTGCAGCCTCTGTCAAACTGAGCAAGTATCAAAAGTTAAAAATGCCAAAAATGTAGCTCCAGACCTTATTTTTATGAGATTTTAACTTCAGAATTAGGCTATGTTTGGACAGACATTAAGTAATTACCAAAATGCTTTACTAGTCTTGGATTAAAATATGATTTACATGTGGTGATCAGAGAAACCATAGTGAGTTTTCTGGAGATGAGAGGAAAAGGTCATGCAGTGAAAAGTGTTATCTGTGTAGGTACAGCACAGAGGCATAAGAACCACAATATTTGATATTTTCAGCTTCTTTGTAATAGCATTCTGTCATATTTTGTCAATATATACTATACAACTCACATCTGTTAGTAAAATGTATATAATGTGGTTTCACTCTCCCCTCACCCTCCAAATAAAAAAGTCAATATGGCATGAGAAGTTACCCATTTTTCCTTCTCAGAACAAAACAAATGGCATGAGATGAAAATACAGCTCACCTGAATGAAATGGCTTTTGCAGTCAACAAGGACAGATGCAGTCTAATGCTTTCATCAGTATTGCACAAATGAACAAAAAGGCCTTGCTTTTATCTTTCTGACTTATGCCACACAAGCCAGTTGAAGTGATTCATCCACATACGCTACCAGAAAGAGGACAATATTGTTCTTTGTGCTTAAAGACCATGTTCAGGATGGCAAAACTATTTTAGTGTACAGATAAGCAATCTTACAAAGTGCAATTACAGCTGGCATTTGACCTGCAGTGCTTAAAATACTTTTAGTGTACAGAGCCGGACGGAACTTATTTAATCAAACATATTATGTTAAACAGACATGCTGCTGAGTATAGAAATTACTTGTATAATTAAATCCTATAATGGGATTGTATTTTCCTTCTCTAAATCATTTTAAAACTATTTTTACATGGACTTGCATTGTGATCAAACTTCAAATCTGCCTTATTAAAATTATTTCAAATGAATAAACAAATTTGATATTTTATATGGTCCTAACTAGTTCAACCTCTATGCTTTTGTACCCTCATACTCTAAATTTGTAGTATCTCTACAGTATAAGTGAAAGATTTTTGAAATTAATAACAGAAAATAGAGAGGGGAAATCCAAGTAATAAAACCTTTTCATCTCTCTGCATCTCCAAAGAATGTGAAGATTCTTCATTTCAATATTGTGGAAATAATAAAGTCACTACTGTCAAACAAATCAGCTTGACAAAATAATTATGACATACCCATACTAACATATGCATGTTCTTGTCACTTGCTGCTTTTTCATTTCACATCACAGAATCTCAACATGCAAACATAATATTTAGTTTACCGAACAGACTTCTGACCTCTTACTCTCCCTTAATGCTTTGTCTCCTTTCTTCCAAGTGATAGTTGGCTTTGGAGAAGCTTGTGGCTTGCACTCAATGACAATTTCTTGGCCCTTCGTAACAATTATTGATTTCCCCATTTGATTTAGCGGGAAAGTGGGAGCTGAAGCTGTTAAAAAGAAGAATGTTAGCTCCACAGAGAACAATCACAGCTTCCTGTTTCATTACCTTCTAATGGAAGATTAGAATAATAGATTTGGTTTTGGGGATGGAATCTCCATTTTTATCTTGGAAGTTATTATGCCACAGGTGGAATTTTATGAAAGATTTGAAATCAGCAGCCAGGATTATATGGCAGGTCAATAACTTAATCCAATTATGGATTAATGGGAAGACTTTCACATCAGCATATTAAAATGAAATTGTTTATGAAATCCAGTAGCTTTAGAAATAAAACATTATGGTTGTTTTAGACACACTTTTCCCAAAATCTTTTGATTTCACCAAAACAAGTTGGAAGTAAATAGTTCCAAATGAAAAGAAGTTCCATAAGTAACCAAAATGTACTCTCCAGCATTAAGTCTTCTAAAAACTATTACTGTTTGAGAATTTGTATTGTTTTCCCTTTTTATATTTTTCTGAATAGTGGGAAATGAAAGTGAGAACTTCTAAATAGACAATATTTAACCATGTCCTGTTCTTAGTATTTCACTTTTCGAGAAGTCCCACACACAAGTTAATCTAATAAATTACACCAATTACTGCAGTTTCCAACAAGAAAGGACAGTTATTCTCAAGTAATCTCATTTTTTTGTGTTTTTCTTAAACTAGTTTTGCAAAACCAAAGCCTACCCCAACCACTGACCTCCCCTGTGACTGTCTCAGCTACACTTACAGGAACATATTACACTCCATTGCCTCAAATATGTAGGAATTTCCTATCATTATTTTGGCTAATTCTCATACCAAAGATATTTATATGGACAATTTATTCTGTTCTTTTCCCTTTAATAAGGCAGAAAATTAAACACAACTGCTTCTTTAGTACAATATTATGGTTGAAATTTAACAGGGGTACAATTTCACAAGTGACAAAAGAAAAGGCTAATTTTACTGCAGCAATATTGTGGCCATTTCTGATATTAAAGAACATCAAAAGAAAGTGTATAAGTACCTGACATAATAGGTATACCTATTTTATAATAGATATAAAAACAGAGCATGAGAACACTGTAGCCAAGGGATCTCTTTGCTAACCGAATCACAAGTCTCCAAGAAAAAGTGATGGAAAGAGAACAATCAATGACCTTGGCTTTTAACTTTATGGCTACAAAGAAATATTTTTAAGAATTATCAGTGGAATTCGAGTGTCGGCCAGCTAGGAAATAGCAGAAATGTACTAGATAGGTTATGCAACAAAAGAACCCAATCTTAGCTGAAATCTAGTATAATATTTCAGTAACTTCAGCTTTCTTGTTCATTTGAGTGGAAGTTTGCAAGAATGAATCTCAGGTGCAGATTTTGAAATTTGCCAAGTTTGAGCAGTGCAGACACCTCTAATCTCTGATATGGTCATTATATTGCTCTGGCAGACTATCACAAAGATGATGAGACTTTTACAAAGTCTGTCTCACCTAAGCCCATGGAAGGGCTCTTATCACTACTGTCTCATTGCATGCTACCACAGTTTGTTCTAAAGAAAACTAGTGTTGAATAGACAAGCTTCAATTTTTTCCTCATTAACTGTCCACTTCGGCTTTTGTCTAATGAATTTTTTATTGTATTCCCAGCTAACACTCTGTAGTGTATTTGCTTTAGTATAGATGATATTCACCCAAGCATGTAATTTCCAGTATTCAATCAGTATTGGAGACTTCATAGGAAATTTTTGTAGCTTTAAAACTAAATGCACAATTACCTTTCAATAAAGGACGAAGTATAAAGAATAATTAAATTTTAGCAGATTAAAATATATTTGCTTTCTCTAAGTTTCATCTCCTGCACATATGTTTGAGGGAATAAAAAATATTTTTTCATTTGTTTGAACTGAAACAACCTTATATGAGAAACAGTTACAAAATGTAACTGTCAGTTATTTATGAAAGAAAATTTTTAGTTTACAGAAGACCCTATGCTCTCTGGGGCAACAAAGGAACCACTCACATAAATAACAAGAATAAAAAGGCACCACATTTATCTGCTCTGCAAAGTTTGGACAGGCAGAAGCTATTCTTTATCACAAAAGACTAACAACAATTGTAATTAACAAAGGGGAAAAAAGGAACAGACCATTTTATTCAATGCTTACCTAAAATCTTCAACTCAGCACTGGCATAAATAGTGCCATATTTGTTTTCTGCTAAGCACTGATACATTCCAGCATCTGAGACATTCACACTGTGGATCATCAGAACACCATTAACCATCTCAGTTCTGCTCTGTAATAGAATTTAAAAAGAAAGGAAAAAAAAGAAATAAATCATTTTATAAAAGGAAAAAGGCACTGAAAAATTGTTGTGCTATTAGCTTAAGGCAAATGGACAAAACCGACCTTAATAAGTTTAAAAAACCCTGAGTAACCAATTTCCTTGGGCTTACTTTATTTCCTGTTATAGAAGGAATTACAAGAATGAAGCAGATGCAGGAGGGCAGAAAAAAGTACAAAAATATTTAAGGCATTTTTTCAGTGCAAGTTTGCTATCTCCAAGGTTTGCTTTTGTCTTCTTGCTTGTTAGTTTGCTATTACACTTACATGCTTTTAAACATGGGAACTTTAATGGGTCAAGAAGTCAGTGGTGAGTGTAACATATCTGACGATCTTCATATCTCTAGTAAATGTTTGGTTTCAGTCACAGCAAAGTCAGTGGTGAGTGTAACATATCTGATGATCTTCATATCTCTAGCAAATGTTTGGTTTCAGTCACAGAGCTGAAATGTTAATGGTGTTAATGGTGGAGCAAAAAGTAAGAATGTGGAGTTTAAATGCATAAGCCATACCTAAACTTTTTTTGATTTCAAGTGGACCAGGAGCTCCTTCAGGATCAAAATCTAAACAGCACAGAATGTTTTCATAAAAGTAGATATGAAAGATGGCTTGCATAAGCAAGAATGAACGGGTCTAACACCTCCATCATTACTGCAAATTTCTTATTTGTAAGGCCCACTAGTAGAAAATGATTACCACAGCTGAAAGAGAAGGGATATTAATAGCTGTTCATGGAAATGTGTACTTCATGGAGCTGTATTTTGAATAATTTGAACTGCTATAAAACTTCTCTAAGTTTTGTTATAAAAGTTGTAGGTTAAATAAATTGTCTGGGAATGCAGAGGAAACTGCTAAAAGTTCTCTGTGTTGTAAGCCCCCAACCAGTTCAAACTAAAATTTAATTTGAAATTTCAGAGTCTGGTGGAACTAATGGTTTGGAAAATCAGAGAATCAAAAAGTACAGATATTTAAATTGCTTCAATTTCAGGAAAAATAGCTCTATCTAAAAATGCAGAAATGGATAAAGTAAAACCATATAACCTTATTTTCAATGCCTCACAGCTTCAAAAGTAAACTGTGTTTATGTTTCCTTTCTCACTGTTTGCATAATTGGTTGATGTTCACAGATAGAAGTGACATTCACTGAAAAGAAAGACATTACATCTTTTATATTCATAAATCTATTCTGTGAATTCATTTACAAGTGGAGACATTTTCTCCCAGAATTGAACAGCTTTATTTTAATCTGGAAAAACATACGAAATAAATTTACAGAACTTTTCTTTGCTCTAATTAAGTTGAGACTATAAAAATGAAAAGGTGTTAGGCAAAAACCCACATGACGTGGACTGATGTTTTGGTGATTCAGTGAAACAAAAAAAATGAAGTGAAATAAAAGGCAGACTAGACCAGAAGTGGTCTTTTAAAAGGAAAAGAGAATTTGATTCATGTCTAATTCCAAAATATATCAGGTGACTGCAGTTTAACACCTTACATTCTAGGAGTCTTACATGGAGAATTTTAATGGTTTTGATGGTGAGGTCTGTTAATTGCACAGAATAAATGGAGTCGAAATTGTAATAGTCATTGTACTTTTTACATTAGTGTACTAGTGATTTGAAGAGTATGATTATTTAAAAAAATATATAGTAAATAACATAACAAGATTGAGGGAAGAAGAAACCTGTTTCAACTCATGCAACACTTCTATGAGTTATTACTATCTTTTTATACAGAAAGCAAAATAGATATGAATAGCATGATACCACTATCTAAAAGAATAAAAATAATTAAACATACTGGAGGTTGTTTGGATGTACACTATAGTACAGACACATCTCAGAAGGTCCTGTCTCCCAAATATTTCTGAACTACAGATGATTACTACTAATGAATAAAGTTTTACATGGCTTGAGATGGTTCATAGGGCACATGCATAGAAAATATGCCTATATACTGTATGCTAACTCTTAAGAATCTAACACAGAGAACAGCAATTTCTGAAGTACTTTTCAGTACTTTCTTTAACTGACTTTATCTGAATGAAAAGAGTATCATGCAACATACTGGTGACTCCTAGTCTAATGTACCTGTGGTCGGAGAGGAACTCCATTTTTCAGCCAACGATATGTGGGCCTTGGTTTTCCAGTGGCTTTACATTCCCATCGGAGCTGATCTCCACTGTCTAATTGTGTATCATTAAGTTTGTCCACCCACTGGGGGAAGGCTGCAAGAAAAAAAGCCATATTACAGTCATAGCATATAAACTCGTAAGTCTCTGGCTAATATGCAACGACCTAATCTAGTAAAGCTCTTAAACTAAATTGGCCTTTGCAAAGCTAAGCTTACTCTCTGAACAAAGCATCTTTAAACAAATAACTGAAACCAAAGAGACAGTAATAAAATTAACCAAACTCCATAACTTTAAAGGAAATGCTGTAATGGCACCAGGTAGTGAGCAGTAGCATGAACAAGAATAGAAATATATCTGATTTCATAAAGTCCAGTGGATTAAATTGCAGTAGTATATATTAATGCATTCGGTATTCCTGAATTTAAGAGAAATGTTTGGTAGTCACAATAGAACATTTAGTATTTTACAAGACCTAAGCTATTTAAGTTGTGTTAAGGAGGTCAGTTGTCATAGACTCTGTTTCATGCGGTTGTCGCAGAAAACTAGGAGATTATTATTTATTCAGCTAGGAATCACTGGGAATTTGTTAAGGTATTTCCACATATTGTTATTAAAGTGCCTTGAGTTTAACTCATATTTCAAGGGAGAAAATGCTTTTAATATATTTAAGCAGAGAACCCATGAGATTTCCAGCATTCATAAGGAATATAAATTGCACAGTAAATCAATGCTAAAACAGTCTTTTCTTAGAGGTAGACAGTTGATAGGTGCATATGTGATCATTAGTACCTAAATTTCACGCAATAATCTGTTAAAAAGCAGGGAATATTTTTCGCAGAGAAGTAGATCTTTAATGCAGCAGTCAATCACATATCTATATCTAGGCTCTTATAATTTGGAAAACAATATATGACTCAGTAAGGAGCTGAACAAAGAACTGAACATTCATATGCAGAAATAAAAATGTATGCTGAAACGCCAACTTTTGTGTTGTCATACTGTAGCTATATCATTTTGTTTAGCACAGAGTATGTTAGATGAAAATTAATCAATGGTATTAAATGTTGGTTTGTTTAGGTTTTGTTTGTTTGGGTTTTTGGGGGAGGTTTTTTTGGTTTTTTGGGGTTTTTTTTTTCCCAAACAGTAGAGAATAAGTAGTTAAAAAGCCTCCATTGCTAAAGGGATGTAAAATTCTTCTGCTTGGTAAGAACAGAATTCCAGATCTATCACAACAAGTCTCTGCTTCAAAAGACAGATAATTGATAACATACTTAAACATGGAGAATTGAGCTTAAAAATAAATCTTTGGATCTAGCTGGCATTTGACAGGTCACCAATCAAAGACGTGAGAAGATATGAAAAAGCATGACAGGTGACTAACTGCTTCTAGCTTACATCTCATGCATGGATGATAAAGAAAGTGAATGAGGTGTCTATCATTCCTTAAGCAGGACATAGTCTGCTTCTCAGTACCTGACTAGACAGTTGTCAGAAGCTAGAAACGTGTTAGGAGCTGGAAACATATCAGAAGAAGAATCACTCATTTCCTTTTTGGTGGAGGAAAACAGAGAGATTGACTCAATCTCACTCTCAAACCCAAGACCAAAAACCTCATTCTTTATTCTTCTTATTACAGTCAAGGCAATGCATTAAATTCTCTGTATGTGTTCTGCTGTGCTGAATCACATGATTCTTAAGCTATAACAAAGGGTCCCACAAAATACTCAGAAAGAAAGAGTTTGCAGAGTCCCTGCTCACTTGTTGCCTACTAATTGTCCTAAAAATATAATTCAATTGCATTATGTAGTTGATCCCGTTCTCTTTTTGAGTGCTTCTGTATGCACAAAGGATGCATGCTGAGAATTAATTGTTTCCTTTGAAATTGAGTGCATTAATATGGTTCTGGAAGATGTGACAGTTAAATGTGTAACTAAAAAGTCATAAAAGACAGCCAGTGATACCATAAAATCATGCAGTTTCAAAGAGGCACTACACTGTTCCTATTTATATTTAATTCTCTTTATTATTCTGCTTTTCTGTAAATTCTACTTTGACCCAAAGTACATTTAGTTTCATTTTTCCGTGTTGCTCATTTGAACTCATGATGAACCAGAGCATCCAGAATCAGTGTATGCATGTTTTCACACCAGACAAAACTGTGTCCACAGCCCTGGCTGAAGAGTTGTCCTCTTCAGTATTGCCATTCTCAACTCTTTGTCTGTGGCTGTCTTGATAGCACAGTCATGGCACAAGTTTTCTTACAAAACTACACACGTCCAAATCACAGTGGTACGACCGAAAGGTATGAACAGCCTTTTTCATCAGTTAAGGTGCTTCTACTCTAAATTTTCTCCTTGTAGACTAAATGGCCTTTGGAGTAATAATTTCCAAGCTGTTGAACTTGCCGTCAGCAAAGGCAATGACTCCGATTCCTACCCCTTTGAGAACAAGACAGCAAAGCAATAGGTAGATGTAGCTGGAATAGAGCTAAAAGCATGATTGAGAGGCATACTTTCATCACTTCTTATGTTCTGTTTTTCTCTCTATGTCCTTACTTTTTCACAGAGAATTCCCTGTCGGCACATTAGCAAGGGTCACTTTCCATAAAATCATAACACTTGTTCTTAAGTCTTATTAATAGATTAAAAATTCAAGCATTTAACTTGATGCACAACCTCTGACTCAACGTACTGGTTTTGGTTGGGCTTTTTTAAACAAAAATGTGTTAACATCAGCCTGATATACACATCTGCAAAGAAAACATTTCATAATTGCACTTTATTTCAATTAGAAAATATAAATTTTAAGAAGCATTTAAACAGATTTCAAAAGTAACAAATGCTTTTTTACTTTTTCACACACATCTTGGGGAAAAATAGTTATCAGCCTGGATTTTATCTGTCCAGTGAAGAGTTTTGGGGTGCCTGTAAGAATAGAAGGATGTGTTTTATTGTTCAGCAGTCTTTTTGGGTATTGTGCCAGAGCTTTATACAGTGCATCCAAGATTTTAAAATCACCATCCAATCCCTGATTTATTCTATGCTGCATTTATGCACCTGTTTATTCAAGGATGTCAAAATGTTTTACAAACATAAACTGGCAATAAATCTGGAAGCTGACAGGCCAATTTTTATATCCTCTGTGCAAAATGAAATTAAGGTGCAGAAAATTCAGACTACTTTCTCAAATTTTTAAGCAGCTTCTTTCCTGAGAGAAAATTAAGGGCAAAATTTTGCATAGACAAATGACTCCAAATAGTGTCCTAAAATATGAATGAGTACAGAGTTTGGGGTGAAAAAACATTTTCCTGTATATGAGATCAATTGGAAAGAGTAAAGTAGGAGAAGAATAGTGAGAAAGACAAGTGAGAAAGACAAGATAGAAAATTTAAACTGAATGCACATTTTTGACCACAAATTCGCTTCTCTAGCCAGTTTCACTGCATGGGACTAGCCTATAGTGGCACCAGTGTATTTTTTCCATACAATTTTTATAAGAAAGTAATTAAAATAGTTCTAAAAATCGGTATGGTCTGTTACACTGCATTATAGAATTTTCCTGCCTTTAGCTACTTGTTCCACTCTTTTGGCAAGCTTC